ACATTACATCCTATATATTTTATATATAATTCCATAATTCATGAATTAACAAAACTACCTAGGTTTTTTACTATTATCCTGTAATTCTGATTCAATGGGAATTTTATCTCCTTTCTTAGGTTCAGAACATATATCATCTAAACCTTTTTCACAAGATCGTTTACGATTAGAATTGTCTTCTGGTATATTAATGTTGATGTTTGGATTATTGAATTCATCAGTGCCGACTATTGTCTAAAAATGATTCATAAAGTTAATCGTAAGGATACTAATTCAAATTATTTTTAGATATAAACCTGTTTCAAAACTTGTAATTTTGCTTCTTTATCTCTGTCATTGAGTCTAGTGATTTCTAAAAGTGCTGCCATTTTTGCTTTCTTCTTTTCTAATCGTTGTAATTGTTTTGAGGTAAGTCCCATAATTTATTTCTTTAATAAATTATAATAAGACAATTTACATTCTATAAAAAATAAGACATGAAAATTTTATTGTCAAATTTGTCTAAAAGTAATAATATCTATCTAAATAATAATTATAAATAAATATATTAAAATTATATATTCAGATAAAAAAATTAAAATACTTAATATGCAAGATTTTTAAATCTTACATTTAATAAATAAATATGGTTTTTATTTGTTTGAAAGTTCTTGGATGACATAATGTATCTCCATTCAAATTAATTAAGTATTAAAACTTTAGTTTGGCACCAATAGACAGTTTTACTAAAGCTTTCATGCAATGCTAATTTGTAGAAAAACTGTTTAAATCTGTAAATTACAACTCCATGAAAATACTTTATTGTTCCTTCCACAGTAAGTTAATTATTACTTAATTATTAAACATTAAAAATATATTTTTTATATAAATTATCATTTTTTTTGTTCAAAAAAAATAAAAATTAAAGTAAAATTATTAAAGTTAAAATGATAAATTTATATAATTTATATTATGATATAATTAAAAACTTATTAGCTTCCATGCTGCGAAAATATTTCAACGTAAGATCAATTTTATGTATAACAAAATTGTCATTTTAAATATTTACGGAATTATTTTAATAAACTTTAATTAATATTACCTGTTCAAAAGATTTAACATTATTCCGATTTACCAGTATTAATAACAGTTATAGCATAAACACAACACGTGTAAGCGGCATGAAACGTGTAAATTTTTAGGTTAGAAAACGCATGGTTATTTTAGGAAAAAAATTGTCTGCTTTTCGAAACAGCACTTTTAATTTTACGCTTTCTACACTTAAAATCTTGTGTCCACGATGCTAGAAATCGATCCGAGATCTCGAATAAGGAAAAAATTTGATCTATTGTAGCTAAACTAGTATACACTTATACTTAAAATGAAATAGATATATATTTGTAGTTTTATAAAAGCAAGAATAGAAAGTTTAGTCAGCCCAGTGCAGAAATAGAAAACAAACCTATTGACTAATTGATCAATTGGTTTGAAAAGTCACTAGGATTGGTCAATTTTTTCTCCGTTCGAGATCTCAAATCGATTTTTAGCATTGTAGTAAGCATTGTAGCATTATAGTAATCGATTTAGCATTGACACAAATTTAAACTATGAACATAGGAAATATCAGGAGTTCTATTTTTATATCTTGGTCCATTTTCTGAATCCTCCTTTATCGTTAAAAATGTCTCTAAGAGCCTATCCAGATACACTTGCATAGTAGCATATGCATAAGGAAAATTATCAATCACATTTTATATACGTTTATGATAGAAATGCGATTGGATAATTTTTCTTATGCATATGATTATCCTACTATGCAAGTTTATTTGGATCGGCTCTAAGGGCCACTTTCATCAATTCCGGTTAATTTAATCTGTCAATTACCTATTAGAATTGACCAATCGTAATTTGTCCATAAATTTAACAGCAAATACAATTGGTCAATTTCAATGACATAATCAAACGATTACATTAACCAGAAGTGAAAGTGATCTTAAGTTAGTTGTATGAGCTTATTTAAGACGATCAAACTGTCGTTATTAAATATAATGAACTTATATTTTCTATATATATATATATATATATATATATATATTAATTATATATATATATATATATATATAATAAATAATATATATAT